ATTAATAAGAGTATTATTAAACTGTAGCGTTTAGTTTGCAGATACATGATGACTGACATGTGGAAATCATCTGTCATGAAAACACATGAAAAACAGCACAGTCCAATACATAGCGCAGATTAATTTTCTTGCCTGGTTTATACAGTGATCTAAACATAAAAAGAAACCAGATGTAGAAGAGTTTGCCTGATCTGAGATTGCAGTGCTGTGAAATCTGCGATCCGGACACACCGACCCAGCGCTCGAATTGAGCAGATTTCCACAAAACTGTGACGGCTGTCATTCACAAAGCTCCACACATCTTCAGCCCCTTTACGTGTTTGGATCTGAAATATTTTGCCTAATAGGATATGCTTTCACGTAGTACATTTAACACATTTTATCACAAATCATCACAAATTAATTCTGCAGAATTCCCTCAATTATACGTGCAGATTCCGTCTGGTCCTGTATCATGACCTCCAGCTGACCTGCAGCTCTCTGTCCTGTTTGGGCTCTTTCTAGAGGCTCCACACAATAACAGGAGGATAATAACACCACAGAATGATGAAGAGACAAGCAAAAGAGCTTTCTAATGCCATCCATTCTCTTCCCTGCCCCCCTCTGAAACCTCATACAAGGAGCGGCACATGCGGAACGATCTCTCGCCTCATATTTCCTGACAGCTAGAGATGATAGTATGCGTGAAACTGACCAATTAAACAGATCTGTGGTTTAAGATGAACTCCTGACGTGTCCTGGGTCATTCAGACCGAGTGCAGCTGACAGTGAATTAAGGCAGTTTTACGAATAACATCATCCCTCTCCAACCGAATTAGCTTCATTTATTATGAGTGTCAGCAGAAAGTTGTAGAGCCAGAGTGTGTGAGCTTCACTGGCACATGCTGCGTGTTCAAACCAACCAAAAACCACTGGAGAAAGAACCACCAGGGCTATTTTAGTACTATTTTATTTAACTGTTTATTACACACTAATTTTTAATTATTAGATTAATAATTACACGAATTACACACTATTTATTAATATTTTAAATTAACGTTTTTAATGTCTACATAGTTTTATAAATTTTCATTTCAGTTTTAGTTATTATACTAGTTATATAACTACATTTTAGTTTATATTATTTCAAGTAACAAATGTGTGTGTGTGTGTATGTGTGTTTAATGGTTTTAGTTTTATTTTCAGTTCATCTCTATCAGAGTCTTTTTAATAAATAAAAAGAAAACAAGATGATAGAATAGAAAAAGAATAGAGAATGAAAATAGATACATTTTTTAAAGGGGTCATCTGATGTTGCTAAAAAGTATTTTTGTGTATTTGGTGTAATGAAATGTGCTTATGCGGTTTAAAGAAAAAAAAAACATTATTTTTGTACATACTGTACAAAACTCTGTCTGCATTTGTGATCGAAGAAATGACAAACAACAAGTTCTACTCTACACTGCTCAAAACTCACGTTTGAATCATCAGTGGCAAATCCTTTAAATGAAAACATACTTACGTGAGTCAGAACTGCCGGCATTTTAGTCTAACGTTACTCTCCCAGGATCAGTAAACAGTCCTCCATAAAATGCGCTGCACACATCTGAATATTTGGGTTGAAGTGTTCTGGAACAGTGTTGTAAATACAACTTAACCACTGTTTTGTAGTCGTGTCCTCTTTTGGAAGACCAAACAAAGTAGTTTCGCTTTCACAACGAAACACACAGCGGCCTAGTGGAAGCCCCGGCTTAGCGTGACCTGAGGCCGGGCTAGAGTGAGCAGAGGTGGCGGGGTTGAGAACAGCGCGGCCGGCGGATGCGACGAAGGAGCGGCTAGCACATGTGACGACCCTGGGCTTCGTCCACGGTGAAAGCCGATCCGGCGATCTACAGCACTAAATTGATGTATTTCCTCAGCGACCGGCACGGATCAGCTCCAGGCATGACGAAGCGGATATCGTCCTCTTTTGGAAGACCAAACAAAGTAGTTTCACTTTCACAACGAAGCAAACAGTGTTGATATGACTTGTTAACCAAACTAACCAGTAGCTCTCTTAACAATCAGCCTTCTGTCAACTAAAGCACATGAATCACAGAAAACCAGAAAACACAAAAAAATAACCAGCTGAGCACATAATAACCAGCCATCTGCTTCACCAACATCAGCATCTAACCAACAGTCTTATCATAACTAGTTAATCAAATCTAACCAGCTGATCTCTAATAGCCACCAGTGTTCAGCGATAGGCAATTAAACTACATGACACGACAGACCAGAGACCAAAATCAGAGCTATGAACATCTGAAACTGTATAGCAGGACGGTATTAATGGCAGAATATTTAACAAATAACATAACTAGGCCTAGTTACCCAGCTAACCTCATAACTAGCTCTCTCTTCAGACCGAGTAAACCACATGATCTACAGATCACATATGAAACACAAGGCAGACACATTTGACAAGATTATAACTAAATACCATCATGTCAATATTAAATGATTTACTATGACTAACGTTAGTGAGCTCATGTCATAACAAGCAGTCTTCTGGTTTGACAGGTTATTCAAACAGCAGAGCTCTGGAAAGATCTTTAATCTGCGCTCAGATCTGCCAAGAGCCCGTCTGATTAAACTCTCAGCTCTCCAGTTAAGTGTAATTCAATTAAATCCGCATTTTAAAGCTGATTGTTGCTATTGGCAACCAGCAGCCTGTTAGCCGTTAGCACAGCCAGCGCGGAGAAACGCGCAATAAAAGAGGCCGTTTGCTCCGTTACACCCATCCATACCGCTTCAGAACGTTCGGGAGAGGCTCGTTAAGACCGCGGCGTCTTACCGGGAGCCGAGGGCTGATCTCTTCCGAGCACCGGTGACAGAAGAACCGGCAGGGCCGCGGGGGAGCTTCCGCCATCTTCGCTGCAGGACCGACTGAGGGAGCGAGAACGAGGCGAAAGTATGGAAGCCCGGACGGAGCAAGAACTAGTGCTGTGCGTACGGACGACGGAACGCGTTTGGGAAAATACAGGCAGCGCCACTCTGCAAAACCTCTTCAAATCAGAACATGTTATACAGTAAAAAATGAAACATCCTTGAAACAATGTAAACTTAGCTTAACATTTTCAGGCCGATTTCGAAATATAGAATTGTATTTATTTATTTAACTTTTTAACAACGGTAAAAAAAAAAAAAAAAAACGTTTATTACACATCAGAAAATAAATGCGCTGAAGTGACACCTCGTGGAGAAAGAGGGACTCGACGAATGTATTTTAAGCCATTATAAACTCTAATAAACATATCAATTTAACCATTTAAAGACCTCATCATGAGTGAGTTTGTCAGCAACGAACTGTTTTCATATACTGTAATAATTTATATCTAATACGGAGATCTTTTGTTGTGAATATTATAAATGTGTGTAATGCCATTACCGTCCTGCAGATGGCGCTACAGCATGTACACCATTCAGAGACACAACACTGTTCAGGCATTGAGGATTACGTTTTTATAACACTTCATAATAACACAAAACATAATACTGTTCGAGATCTCCTTCTTTAGGAGAAAAATATTTCACAGATCTCGAAGTCAATGAAGTACATAGGCCTCAATTAGTTTTAGAGCATTTTTGAAATAAAAAATTATGTATGAAAATGAACAATAAAGATAAATATATAAAACATGAATAATTTCATTCAGTTCAGGGTTATATAAAAACGATATATACATAATTAAAAACTAAATTACTCAAACTTGAACTAAAATTAAAACAGAAAAATATCCAAATAAAAACTAAATCAAAATATTAATAAAACTATAATAGTTATAGACTACAATATTTAGCAATACTAAAATAATTTAAGTAATTTCCGGTTATAAAAATAACTGAAATGTATGCAGCAATTTAAGCTCAACTTGAATTTTGCTGCACTTTACTGAACCTCTCAAAGGTTTTAAAGCAAGAATAGTAAAAGTGTGTCTGAAAGTCAGACAAAGAAAGTCTTTGAGGTCACTAGAGAAGCATGCAAACACACACACACACACACACACCTGTCAGCTGTGCTGTTAATGAGGTCTGACTGATGCTGACTACATCTGGCTGTCAAGATGCATTTATGCCAACTTACATTGAGAGTTTGTCAGAGACCAGAGCTGCGGTGAGGGATGCACACCAGAATAACAGAATAACTGTTCATGTGAACAGGAAATGAACTAGTTTATGGGTAGGTGACGTACTGAGAGACTTCATGGAATGTAGTTTTAAAAATGTATTTGTCAGGACTATTTTTAAATAGTAAATATTTTAAATAGTGTCTATAGAATATTTAAAAAATCTTTTAAAAAGTGAAATGGAAAATGTTTTTAAAAATAGTGAAAACCTTACAAGTTTCTCAGTTAATAAAATGTGTTCTAAGAATGTTTCCTATTATGTTATGAAAATGTTTTCTGAATGTTCTCTAAATGTTCTAAAAGTCAATTTTTTTTATGTTTTAAAAACTTTTTTTTTTTTGTTATTCGACATTCCATTTAGTCATTTTGCAAACATTAGGGGAATGTTACTTTTGAATGTTCCCTGAACGTTCCGAAACATTTAAAAACGTTACACAATTGTCCAAAACATTTTAGAACAAAAACGTTCTATGAAACGATGTATAAATGACATTTTTGTGCCGCTGTTTTGAGAACATTACTAAAGACAAGATAACTTTAAACGAATATTCTATTAGCATTACTGGAAAAATGCATATAGCCAGAACGTTCTGACAACATGTCCATCTAAAATACACACTTCCCTTTTATATTCAGATATATTTTAGCCTAAACTTTGATTGTTGGATAAAATAGCATCCATGTTGGGTGCTAATATAATTTTTTCATTTCAAATCATCAAATCAAAATGTTGTACAACAATGTAAATCACCAAAAATACCAGATCAGGAGACTAAAGCCTTAAACAGCAGTGAATGAATTTGAAAAACAAACACAGCAGTTTACTTTAGTTTTTAATATAGTTAAACCAGAAATATGAATATGAAATGGGAACTATATACAGATGGAATATGATTTGAATGAGAATCGACCTCTACATGCTGCTTTAATAATTCACAAACAGTATTGATAACTTACCAAAAAAAACGTGACCTTATTTTCCCAAAGACAAGAATAAGAAACAAGATCTGTAAACAAGAACAGAAATGGCCAGAAGTGTTTTATACAATAAAACAGCAGATGAAGTGTGTACAGTCAGTGTTGAGCTCTCAGATGAGGCAGTTCATGCATTTGACGGCTTTACTGCCGTAGTCCAGACATTCAGGTCCGATACACTCACAGCAGGCGTTATGAAACCAGCGGTACTTTGATCCGCCCATTGACTCGCAGTACTGCTTACACTGACGGATGGACAAGCAGTCATCAAAGTAGACCACCGTACACAAGGCATCTGAGGAATGAGAGCAGAGCCAGAGGAACACATCACAGACGAGCATGTGTAGAGGTGAGGTGAGGTGAGGTGAGGTGAGAAGAACAGTAGAGAAGAACAGTAGAGAAGAACAGTAGAGAAGAGCAGAGATGAGAAGAGAATAGTATAGATTAGAAGAGAAGAGAATAGCAGAGATTAGAAGAGAAGAGAAGAGCAGAGATGAGATGAGATGAGATGAGAAGAGAAGAGCAGAGAAGAGCAGAGAAGAGAAGAGAAGATAATAGCAGAGATTAGAAGAGAAGAGCAGAGAAGATAATAGCAGAGATTAGAAGAGAAGAGAAGAGCAGAGATGAGATTAGATGAGAAGAGAATAGCAGAGATTAGAAGAGCAGAGAAGAGAAGACCAGAGAAGAGCAGAGATGAGAAGAGAAGAGAAGAGCAGAGAAAAGCAGAGATGAGAAGAGCAGAGAAGAGAAGAGCAGAGCAGAGAAGAAGAGCAGAGAAGAGAAGAGCAGAACAGAGAATAGCAGAGATTAGAAGAGAAGAGCAGAGATGAGATTAGATGAGAAGAGAATAGCAGAGATGAGAAGAGCAGAGCAGAGAAGAACAGCAGAGAAGAGCAGAAAAGAGAAGAGAAGAGCAGAGATGAGAAGAGCAGAGAATAGCAGAGATTAGAAGAGAAGAGCAGAGATGAGATTAGATGAGAAGAGAATAGCAGAGATTAGAAGAGCAGAGAAGAGAAGAGAAGACCAGAGATGAGAAGAGAAGAGCAGAGCAGAGAAAAGCAGAGATGAGAAGAGCAGAAAAGAGAAGAGCAGAGCAGAGAAGAACAGCAGAGAAGAGCAGAGAAGAGCAGAGCAGAGAATAGCAGAGATTAGAAGAGAAGAGCAGAGATGAGATTAGATGAGAAGAGAATAGCAGAGATTAGAAGAGCAGAGAAGAGCAGAGAAGAGAAGAGAAGACCAGAGAAGAGCAGAGATGAGAAGAGAAGAGCAGAGAAAAGCAGAGATGAGAAGAGCAGAAAAGAGAAGAGCAGAGCAGAGAAGAACAGCAGAGAAGAGCAGAGAAGAGCAGAGCAGAGAATAGCAGAGATTAGAAGAGAAGAGCAGAGATGAGATGAGAAGAGAATAGCAGAGATGAGAAGAGCAGAGAAGAGAAGAGAAGAGCAGAGATGAGATGAGAAGAGAATAGCAGAGATTAGAAGAGCAGAGCAGAGAAGAACAGCAGAGAAGAGCAGAGAAGAGCAGCGATGAGAAGAGCAGCGAGGAGAAGAGCAGAGCAGAGCAGAGAAGAGAAGAGAAGTATGGGAAGCCAAACACACCAAAAGTGGGATGAAACAGCGCGGTTTTAAAGTGTTCGCGCCGCGCTGACCTGTCATCGGTGCAGCTCAATGGACCGAGCTGCGCCACCGACTCGACAGCGCAGAGAGGACGTGTTTACTAGCGCCACCGAGCTGACAGTGCAGCGCGAACATTACTCTCCGCAGATGTTCCTGTTTTTTTCCTGCACATAACATAATGAAGATCAGTATTAAGTTATTAAATTTCTTTTGCTTACCTTTCTACTACACGTAAACAGTTGTACTTTGTAAAAACTGCAAATATAAAATATATAAGACTTTAATACATTTACAATGCCATAGTCCTCTTGAGGAGCACACCCAGCTTCTAGTATATATATATATATTTTATTTTGTACTGAGTTATTATTGTTGTTGTCATCAAGTTCTACATTCAGCACAATATTGTCCATTTTAAATTTTAACTATTATTAAATAGCCTAGTATATATTTGGGATTTTTGTTGTCTCTAGTAAAGGGAACATTGATTTTTAACTTTAACATTGCAATTTTATATAATGGATACAGTATACGTTACGTTTGTAAGGCTTTTCTCTACACTCCAAATTAAATAAATAAATACATTTTAATTAATATAAAAAAAAACTTTAAAAATTAGGGACAGTATATGTAAATTCAATATGATGTATTTTGAATTTTGCACTGCATTGTGTTTTAGGTTTATCGGAAAACACATTAAAATTAACCATGATTTTATTACACTAACCTTTTTTTACCATATATTTGTTGTTAAACTGTGGGTTAAAAAAATGACAATCAATCCATGGTTACTGCACTTTTACTATAGTAAAACCATTGTTAATTTCCGTATTTCCATAAGGGAACATTTTTGTCCTGACAGAAAAGTATCAGTACATTTTACTCTTTTTTTTCCAAGTATAATCATATGCTACAGTTACATAAATATCCTTAAATGTAAAATGTACTTAAAATAAGCCTTGATGAACGAAACCATAAAATATTTTAATTCCAAGAGGATAACGGAAATTTCTGCTGTAAACGTGACTACTAAATATAGGCTATACGTGCTTCAAAGTAGCTAACACTACTGAGAAGAGCAGAGAAGAGAAGAGCAAAGCAGAGAAGAGATGAGAAGAGCAAAGCAGAGAAGAGCAGAGAAGAGAAGAGAAGAGAAGAGAAGAGCAAAGCAGAGAAGAGAAGAGAAGAGAAGAGAAGAGACGAGCAGAGAAGAGATGAGCAGAGAAGAGATGAGATGAGCAGAGATGAGCAGAGAAGAGAAGAGAAGAGCAGAGCAGAGATGAGAAGAGCAGAGAAGAGCAAAGCAGAGAAGAGATGAGAAGAGCAAAGCAGAGAAGAGCAGAGAAGAGAAGAGAAGAGAAGAGAAGAGCAAAGCAGAGAAGAGAAGAGAAGAGAAGAGCAGAGAAGAGCAGAGCAGAGAAGAGATGAGATGAGATGAGCAGAGATGAGCAGAGAAGAGAAGAGAAGAGAAGAGCAGAGCAGAGCAGAGCAGAGAAGAGCAGAGCAGAGAAGAGAAGAGAAGAGCAGAGAAGAGCAGAGCAGAGAAGAGCAGAGCAGAGCAGAGATGAGATGAGATGAGAAGTGCAGAGATGAGAAGAGCAGAGAAGAGAAGAGCAGAGAAGAGAAGAGCAGAGATGAGATGAGAAGAGCAGAGAAGAGCAGAGAAGAGAAGAGAAGAGAAGAGAAGAGAAGAGATGAGAAGAGCAGAGAAGAGCAGAGAAGAGAAGAGAAGAGAAGAGAAGAGAAGAGAAGAGAAGAGAAGAGAAGAGAAGAGAAGAGAAGAGACTTCACTTTCCAGAAGTTACATGTTAATATATCATACAGTACCTCAAGACAAAATATTCAAGCTTATTTTTCCATAGAATGAAAGTAGGTAAAATAATGGTTTGTGTCTTACACATAATGTTTGTTTATTTATGCAGATGTGCGTCATTTAAGCATTACGTGGGTTTTTAATTCTAGAATTTATTTTCATTCTGTTTTAAAATAAATTAAAGTGATTACTATTAGACTTTATTATTAAGATTTGAGCTAAGACTATAAATTCAAAACAACAAAATAAAAATAAAATTAAGTATTTTCTTTTTGCATTTTAATCTTTTTGTGAACGCTGAGAATATATTTGTCTTTATTCATGCAGTTTACAGTCATTTTAAGTCATTTGTATGTGGGTTTTTATTCTATAATTTAATTTAATTCTGACTGATTTAAAACAAAATAAAATAATAAAATATTTGCCGTTTACATTTAATTTGTTTTAGTGAACTGAGTAAATATTTTAATGTAATATCAATCTCTACATTTAAATGTAAGTGTATATTTATATTATTTAATGAATAATATTTAATCGTAGAATAATTTATATAATAATATAATAATATTTTTAATTTATATTCAAATTAAATGTAAATATTATGTGAAACAGAAGAAAAAACTGGCCACTGAAACCCTAAATTAGTCGACCACTATTAAAAGAATTCGGTCAAATTCATTTTGTCATTATTTTCTCCACTTATTCCTAACCATTTTCTGTCTGTAGTGAAACAAAAAAATGAGATCTTGAGGCAAATTATCCAAGTTTCTTTTTTCATACAACGAAAGTGGACTGAATAATGTTTTTCACACAAAAAATGCAGTTTATTTATGCAGTTTAAGGTCAGTTTATGCATCAGAAGGTATATTATTTTATTTTTTAAATTATTTTAAATTTTTAGTTAAAACAAAATAAAAGTGATTATTAGAAGAACTGATTATTAAGATCAATAATTTGAGCCAAGACTATAAACTAAAGACATAAATTAAAAAGAGATACAAATAAAATAAAGTGAAATAAAATAAAAATGTATTATTATTATTAGTAGATATCATACAGTACCTCAAGACAAAATATTCAAGCTTATTTTCCATAGAATGAAAGTAGGTAAAATAATGGTTTGTGTCTTACACATAATGTTTGTTTATTTATGCAGATGTGCGTCATTTAAGCATTACGTGGGTTTTTAATTCTAGAATTTATTTTCATTCTGTTTTAAAATAAATTAAAGTGATTACTATTAGACTTTATTATTAAGATTTGAGCTAAGACTATAAATTCAAAACAACAAAATAAAAATAAAATTAAGTATTTTCTTTTTGCATTTTAATCTTTTTGTGAACGCTGAGAATATATTTGTCTTTATTCATGCAGTTTACAGTCATTTTAAGTCATTTGTATGTGGGTTTTTATTCTATAATTTAATTTAATTCTGACTGATTTAAAACAAAATAAAATAATAAAATATTTGCCGTTTACATTTAATTTGTTTTAGTGAACTGAGTAAATATTTTAATGTAATATCAATCTCTACATTTAAATGTAAGTGTATATTTATATTATTTAATGAATAATATTTAATCGTAGAATAATTTATATAATAATATAATAATATTTTTAATTTATATTCAAATTAAATGTAAATATTATGTGAAACAGAAGAAAAAACTGGCCACTGAAACCCTAAATTAGTCGACCACTATTAAAAGAATTCGGTCAAATTCATTTTGTCATTATTTTCTCCACTTATTCCTAACCATTTTCTGTCTGTAGTGAAACAAAAAAAATGAGATCTTGAGGCAAATTATCCAAGTTTCTTTTTTCATACAACGAAAGTGGACTGAATAATGTTTTTCACACAAAAAATGCAGTTTATTTATGCAGTTTAAGGTCAGTTTATGCATCAGAAGGTATATTATTTTATTTTTAAATTATTTTAAATTTTTAGTTAAAACAAAATAAAAGTGATTATTAGAAGAACTGATTATTAAGATCAATAATTTGAGCCAAGACTATAAACTAAAGACATAAATTAAAAAGAGATACAAATAAAATAAAGTGAAATAAAATAAAAATGTATTATTATTATTATTAGTATTAAATAACAAATAATCATTTACTAAACCACTCATTCCAAACATTTTTCTTTCTTTTGTGAAACAAAAAATGAGATCTTGAGGTGAAATATTTAAGCTTATTAGCGAGTTGAATAATAATTTTCCATACAAATTTACAAAAACAAAGTGCACAAGCTGTACAGATTTCATGCTATTTTTAAGTTGCCTTTTTGGAGCTTGACAGCATAAAACACCATCCACTTTCCTTGTGTGGAAAATAGCATATTCATTGTTTAACCAAATGTTAATTTTTGGCTAAGCTATTATTTTAAAGAGTTTAATAATGTCTAATCATCTTTGGTATGGATATTGTTTGCCGGAGTCTGATCACGTCTGTCCTTGGAATACTCTTGTGTCTTGCCCGTGCCATACCTGTTTGCTGGTGTTTCGACCCTGCCTGTGTTATGGACTACGTCTCTGTCTAATAAAGCTTGCAAATGGATCTGCACGTCTCTCGTCTCGTTCGCCCGGTTACAGGTATTCTGGGACAAGATAAAATCATGTTTTAATATCTTTTCCTCCCGGTACACACCGTCATGGACGCTGCTGCTGCTGGGCAGTGAGATGTTGTGGCTCTGGCTGTCGAGCGTCTCCAGGAAAGACACGAGGTTCTCGTGGTGGGAAAGTTCCTCCGCCACGGGGAACGACACGACCATCATGTTAATGGGGGCGTCGCCTTCGGTCAGAGCGCGGAAGAGCGATGGGATTGGTCGGTACAGCTCCTCGACGGTGCTCTTGGAGGAGGCAGGACTGTCGTTGTAATTCCTGGGGTTACACATTCCTGTGGGACAGAAAAAAGGAAGAACTTGCACGCATCATGATGGAAAGCCACAAAAAAACCTTTATGACGAACTTTACAAGCAAATGTAATCACAACTGAAGACTACTTGACTGCAATATACGTACTAATAGCCATAGCAATGAATAATGCATATTTTTGCATTTATTTATTTTAAGTAACTACTGTGACCTAATTTCATACATATTTTATATTTAAATGTAAGCGTTTACCTTATATTTATATTTTATGAATTATACTTATTTATTTTATCATATTTAAATGTAAAAACTGGAATATATTTAAATCTAAATATTAAATGTGTTTGAAAAAAAGAACAAATATTCATTGAAAAATTCATATTTGTCAACCACTATTAAAGGAATAGGTTAACCAAAAATAATAATAATTTTGCCATCATTTACTCAAGCTATTGCAACCATTTTTAAATAAAAATTAGAAAATTAATATTTTGTTCTCCATTGAATAAAGGCGGCTGAGTAATCGGTTATTTGTGGGGTATTTTATCATTTCATTTTGATTGGATATAATATAAAAGTGATTATAATAATAACTGATTATTAGGATTATAAAATAAAAAAATATTTTCTGTGTGCATTTTTATTTTTTTAGTGAACTAATTTTTTTAGTAAATATTGTGACATTTAAAGTCTTCAGAACACGACTGTGAACAGCAGCTCCACTTTGAGAGATCAACTGCTGTTAAAGATGGCAATCAGATGGTGGATGAAGGTTTTAATAAAGAGCAGAACGCTGCAGAGACCTTGTGTTTCAGATTATCTGTGGAGCGGCTGCCAGCACAGCTGCTTCTGATTAACAAAACCAAGCCAGGTTTGGCCTTCAGGGAACAACACGCATCCCTCCTTTCCCTCTCAGCCAATAAACGAGTGCTTGGAACTGAACGAGCTCTACAATCTGATGCTTTTATGTCCTTGTTGTGAAAATGGATGCATTATGCATTGTGTTCATTTTTAGACTTCTTCTTAGGTATGATGCAACTTTTTCATCTGGTCATAAAACCCTCTGTCAATTTAAAGCTTTATCAGTAGCCCTGTTGACTCGATAATTACTGCTCATGCATTATCTGTGTGCCGTTTGCAATGATTTCAACAGGATACCAATCGAATATAGAGAATGAAAACAGACAAATGTGGCATCTAAAGCATGCTTTGCTTTCTCAAAGCTCTTTTGTTTTTGTATTATGTTTAGGAATGATCTGGTTTCAACTTTTGTACTCTGATTGGCTGTAACTGTTAACCGGGAAAACCTGATCTGAACTGATCTGGAGTTTGTGTTTGAAGCCGCAGCACACAGAGATGAGAGTATCTGGATCAGCTCACTTCTGTCAGAGGAGTGGACACCAGCCCTCCTGTCATCCTCAAACCAGTCCTAATATTTACAAGTGCTCTCACTGGACTGAGAATGAGTCAAACCTGTTAACACAACCTGACGTCTTCAGTTTATAGTCCCGGCCCAGCTCTTAATATTCCTAATAATCACTTTATTCTTATAATAATCATTTTATTTTGCTTCATTTATATCATTTCACTATTTTATATTATTATTTTATTTAAAATAAAACTTTTTTTTATATAATTTTTCTTTTCTTTTCTTTCAGTCATTGTACATACTCCAGATATGTCAAATATATTTGTTTATTTATGTTTTGTTACACACTATGGGAGTATTTATTTTATCATTTAAATGTATATGTATTTACAAAAGTAAATAAATAAATAATAAAATAAAATAACCACATAATGTATAGAATATGTATGTATTTATAAGAAAAACCTCCATAATGCATTGTGATATTTCAGTTTTTCTTTTTTAATAAATCTGCAAAAATGTCAACAATTCTGTGTTTTTCTGTCAATATGGGGTGCTGTGTGTACATTAATGAGGAAAAAAATTAACTTAAATGATTTTAGCAAATGGCTGCAATATAACAAAGAGTGAAAAATTTAAGGGGGTCTGAATACTTTCCGTACCCACTGTATAACTTATATATAATTTTATATATAATTTAATTTTGATTGATTGAAAAAATTAAAAAGTGATTATTATAAGACCTGGTTAATAGCATTAAATAGGAGTTGAGCCAAGAACTAATTGGTTGATTGATTAAAATAAACCAATTAATCAAAAAATAAAATAATATAAAATAAGCACATAATGTATTTTTATGGAATATGTATTTATAAGAAAAAATTATTAAATAATTTAATTTTGATTGATTAAATTTTTGTTTTTTTAAGTGATTATTATTAGACCTGGTTAATAGCATTAAACAGACGTTGACTATGAACTAAAATATTTTATTTTATTTTATAATTTAATTTTGATTTATTTAAAAAATAAACCAATTAATCAAAAATAAAATAAAATATAAAATAAAATAAATATTGTTCATGGACCAGCTGTGATATTTATTTGGAGTTAGAGTGCTGAATGAGTATCGAGTATGTATTGATTTCAATCTCACCGACACAGTCGCAGCACTCCTCCCACAGAGAGCTCAAACACAGCATGCACTCCTTACAACATGAACAGTTTCCCTCCGACGGCCGGCACTGACACAGACCCTGTACACACACACACAATATACATTACGAAAGGCAATCATACAGGGGAAAAATGACATGACGTGGAGGAAGTCTAGCTCACATAAACATGATCTCCAAACACATGTGCTACAGAGAGCCGAGAGTCTTGAAGGAAACATCGAGATCTTTCAGCTGTAAGAGTTCAAAGAAAACCACCCAAAGAGACAAAGAACATTTAAACATGAGAAATAACACCAGGCTGAGAAGAAACAGAGCTGCGAACTGTTCCACGCTGGAAAAAAACCCTCCAAAGCCCCAGCGGAGAGGGGAAAAAGACTGACCCAAACCTGGGACACATTTAGAGTTATAATTACAGAGAAAACAGCAGAACACAGACACACACATTCGGCTCTCTGTGTTTCGTGTTTTGCCAGCAGTTGCGAGGAAGAGGTCAATTTCCAGATGTGTGTGTGTGTGTGTGTGTGTGCGTGTGCGTGTGCCATTAAAACTGAAAGTTCAGGAGAGGAAACACAGAGAGTAACAAAAACGCAACTACAGAAAAGCCAATACCTGAAAACACACGTGGGCCAGATACTTCCAAAAGAAACAAGCCCAGACAATTCCCGGTCCCTGCCCAGTTCTCTTTAGTTTGGGGAATTGCGTGTGCCATTTTCATGCATTCCTTAAAAGAACCATCGAGCCAAACTACATAAAAGCCATAAAAGCTCAGTTTCCTTCACTTCAAGACACTGAAGTACAACCTGTCCAAACACAGCCTCACAGACTCCTGCTGTACCTGCAAACAATCCACGCTTTTCATTTGAAAAAGACATGATTCTGCCCAGCTGTGCCATGAAGCATGACTGTGACTATAATGTCTGATAGCGCATACAAAGTAAAAAAAAAAAAAGAAAAAAAGTTGAACTGTGACCCATCCGCTCTCACAATTAATTTATTACATTTCCAGACACTTAATAAATAATATTACTACATTCTTGTTTAAATATACAAAATGGAACTCATGAGAATAGTTTTTTTATTTAGCTTTCATTTAAATTTTAGTTTTAATAATTGTAATACTATTTTATTATATTTTTCAAATTCTAATTTATTTGTTTTTCATCTAATACTTAATATTTTATTTCAGTTAACAAATTAGTTTTATTAACAATAACTTGTGGTCTAACAAACATGTGGAATGTATTTCCTTCCTCATTAATGGTAGAAAATAAATAATGAGATAAATACTGATATCGAATGATATGAAAAAAATAAAAGTGATAATATTCTGAACACCCTAGCAACGAACTAACCAACCAAAACACACCACAAACTCCCTAGCAACCCCCCAGAAAACCTTAGCAACCACACAACATCCAGAAAATAAGAATCTGTTTTGTTGCTTTCAGCAGGTTTTTCTCATCTGCTCTCGTTTGTCTCTCGTCCGAGCGTGTGCCGGGCTGTTTACTCATGTAACGTCATGAACCTCTGTGTTTATTCCCCAGACAGATGTCTCACATCCCGAGACTGTCTGTCTCTCTTCCTCTGGGACACACAGACCAGAGTAAACACAGCCAGCAGAGACACACACAGATCCAATCACAGCAGACACGCCAGACAGAGAGAAAGAGAGAGAGAGAGAGAGAATATATTTGACAGAAAATAGAAAATGATTAGGAAAGCACAAACAAAACAAAATAAAACACATCAAAACAAAACAAAACACATCAAAACAAAATAAATCACATCAAAACAAAACAAAACACATTAAAACACATCAAAACAAAACAAAACACATCAAAACAAAAGAAAACACATTAAATCAAAACAAAAAAAAACACATCAAAACAAAAGAAAACACATTAAAACACATCAAAACAAAAATCAAAACAAAAGTAAACACATCAAAACAAAACACATCAAAACAAAAGAAAACACATTAAAACACATCAAAACAAAAATCAAAACAAAAGAAAACACATTAAAACACATCAAAACAAAACAAAACAAAACATATATTTGGGGGTGGATGTAGGACCTTCCCAAATACATCATCATGAAATTATCAGTATCATCACCATAGTAATTTTTTATAAGGGCAGGCATCTAGATTTAAAATTTAAAATCAACACTGAGCCACATGCACAACAGAAAGTGCCACACACGCACACACACACACACGCACGCACGCACACACGCACACACACACACGCACGCAGCTGCTGGTATGCTCCAGGGAAAACGTGATCCAGTATAACATGAGTTACACCCAGTCGCCCTCAAACACAGCGTTTCTGCGGTGGAGAGCACAAACCGACAGAAGAACCTCACCACATCGCTCAGGTGACACGAAGAAAAAGCTTCTGACTGGAACTGTGTCACAATATTACGATGCTCTGCTCTCAGGCATCTGTGTGTTCTGATTCCGTGAGAGACAGAAATGTAAATGCACCGTTCCTTACCGTTCTGGGAATGTTTTCAAACATTTTTCCGTATTCCACACGTCCAACTTGAGCAACCGAATAGAATTTTGTAAAAAAAAAAAAACTAAGGCTAAATCAATGAATCTTTGTTAATGATGATTCGATTTCCTTCTAGTGTAACTATAAACTCAAACCGTATCAGAGCATGAAGTTTACACAGTTCAGAACCACCTGCTGGAGCTCCTACACCTTCCAGTGAATTTACATCACTTTAACAGGCATTAAATACGGACTTTTATGAATAAACATGACATACAGATTTTATACTCTCAAAACACACAATTTATATCTGTTGAAATATTTCAGAGCAGAGCTAACACTAAAAAATGATATTCACTACAGACATTTCCCCTGGGAGCCCTGACTTGTGGAATTCAACATGAATGACTATTAAAAAGTTGATAAAGATGAAAAGTACAATTCTCAAAATTCCAGAGGACAGGAAACATTGGGAACTGATCCGGTGGGACAAATAAGCGTCTGTGTTACCTGCAGAAGACATTTGCTGACGTCACTGGCGCACAGGGCTTTGTTACAGCCGCTGACGAGGGTCAGTCCAGACAACAGAGAGATCAGGACGGGACAGAGGAACAGAGCCGGCCGCATCCTGACCCAAACTCCACACACCTGCGCTCAACACAGAACAACTATTAACAGATCAGATGATATACTGCACTGAAATATATAGAGAAATAAAAATTCACTTTCAGGCAAATGAAATATAGATTTGGATTTAACGAATACAATTTATTTAATAAATAAATAATCACATAAAATAAAATGATATATATATTAAAATATATAATACTATTTAATATCATATATAATAAAATGACTATATTTTTGGTTAGGTATACACGATAGAACTGAGAACGAATTATTATTTTTTTTTTTACATAAAATATAAAAAGTATTATTTGTTATATATATATATATATATATTAAAGACAGTACTTTCAGCACTTTTATGCATAGCATAAATATTTTTTTTTTTAAGCAAACTTGGAAAATATAATCCAGCTACATCACATTCAAGCAAATGAAACACAGATTTGGAATGCAGAACACTGAGGAACTTTTCAGCGGCGTGTTGAACGTTCTTCCTCACATAAAATATAAAAAACAACAAAGAAAAGCTTTATCGCAAACATGACGCAAAAACACAGGATTATCACGTCACAGATCTGGCTTACGTCACATCTTTACACGCATTTGACAAACAACAGAAGCGTACTTACTGTGTCACTTTGACGCGTTCTCAACACTTTCCTTTGGTTTTGGACTTTCTCTCATGCGGATCTCGTGTCTTGGCTCCTTTTACTCTGAATAGAAACATGAGCGGCTTTGATTCACAGAAATGGAAGAAGCGAGTAGAACTGCAATTAGCATAACACACGTGTCTCAAAGGAGGCGTGGCTTACTGGCCCGGATGTTGTTTCGGATGAGTCGGAAACCACAAATATTTTTAACTCTTCGCTACGTGTTTAATGTCTAGTGTTATTATTAGGCGTCGATTATTGTTCAGAGCTCTGCTAAAACAGGAGGAATCGCACAGACGAGGTCACATGGTACCCGTTACTTTTCACAGCGCTGGCGGGTTTCAGCCAATCACAGTCGCCGGTGCAGATCTACGCATCGCAGCCCGATGACTTCTGATCTCAGCAGGAGGAGTGCGGTGAGATTACTCAGTACTGCTAATGCTGTTGGCTCCTTAAGATAAACTGTTGGGCTTTTTTCTCTCATTTGTAAGTCGTTTTGAATAAAAGGATCGGGCAAATCATTAAAGGTTTCAAAAGGGCTCAACAAAAGCAAGATTTGGACTTCTAAGTGAAGGTTTGGTGGTTCAATCACTATTAACTATCCAATATTATTATTATTATTTATACTTATATTTTTAAGAATTAAAATGCTAATTTAAATAATACGAATTATACATTATTTTTATTATTCACTTTAATAAGGGATTAGTATTATAATTGCTTTTATTATTAAATATTAATATATGTATGGATTTTAAATTAATAATTTATTATTATAAAAATATAATAAGAATTTTAATTATATAAATAATAGTTATATTTTTTAAAAACATTTATAGCTCCAAAACAATGCAATATTCATACACTCCTACAGATAAAGACTAAACTATATTCGTTTTTAGATAGTTTTGATGTTGATTAATATGGTTTAATCCGTGCACTCTGCCATCTGCTGGACAAAAAAAAAAGTTCAGTTTTATATGCATGCATGCATGAACATCTGTACCCAAAAAGTTACATATAAATGTCCAAAAAGTCCAGATTTTTGAGCGTTTCAATTGAGAATTTTGCTTTGAGCATTTATGCAGAGTATAGAAACATTAATATTCACTAGTAAATTCCATGACTTTAATAGACTAATGTTTCCATGTCCATGACAGTAAAAAAATATATAAATAAAAAAAAGGGCAAAAAATATTTCACAACCAATAAAATTTATTCAATTATATATTACAAATATGTACATCCTCATGTAACAAGTAAATATTAAAATAGACATATTTTTAGAACCATCGTTCAAAAGGCATTACGTTGTAAAAAATAGGTTTTGTTGTGATCTCACATTAAAACTGTAAAAGTAAGGGTATTTTTTCCTATCGAGAAACCACAACAAACTTTTTTGTTTTTTTTTGTTTTTGTTTTTTAAATGTGCGCAAGACACAAGGGACAACACGCAAGAAGTGGATGTTACTAACAGATACAAATGGCAGAAAAGAACCAGGACCACGTCAGTAAACCTCACCACGGTACAACTTTTTAGAAAGCGACGAACTTGCGAAAGCATGCACATTATAGAAATCACAAGTCAAAAAACATCGGACTTGATGAATGCCAAAGGGATAAAAGAGGAATTAAAAAAAAATAAAACAAAAAGTATTTCAAAACACATGCTTAAAGAGTTAAGCAAACATCAACAACAACAACAACAACAACAAAGAACTTCAATGTGAAAACAACTTTGGTCCATCAAACATTAGACAAAACAAAGTTTACAATCAAAATATTTATTACTTAAATTTTTTCCGTCCTCTCAGTTTTCTTTCCTTTTTTACAAGTTAAAAACAATAATTACATGGCTATTTACAAATGCACAATCAGTATGTATAAAATAAGTTAAAAAATGAGGAGCACAATCTATACATAATCTATGAACACTCACTGTAGAAACATGTTGGATTGAGATCTCTTTCTTAACGGAGGAGGAAAATCTCTCTCGCACGCTTTCCGATGGTGGTCTTTACCCTCCGGAGGCTGGTTTTTCCCGATGCTCCTCTGTCGACCCGCGGTCTACCGTTCTGTATGGTGGACCTCAGGGTTAAGTGCGTTTTATTTAGGCCTGCAGTCTATCAGAGCCAATCTGGCGCCCATATGGTGAAGTGCGTTTGGACCGGGAACCAGAACTAGAACAGCAAACACAGACTGAACTGGTGATGACAGTTAGCCTCGATGTGCAGTGCTTGTTTGTGTTATTTTTCTTAGTTTTTCTTCTTTTATTAGAAAGCGTTCGGTCAACGACATGTGCACCGTGACACACACACACACACACACACGCACAACATACATGCGCACGCACGCACACACGCACACCTCCAAATCAAGTGCTTCGTGTTTTCTCCCTACGCTCACGTCTTGACATCATCACTCGTCGTGGTCCGACAGCTACTAAATCGTCGTCTCATATCGGCGTCAAGTCGAAGTCGTCGTTGACCTCTACGAGGGGGATGTAGAATTCGGGAATCTCGAAAATGCTGGTAGACTTGTAAGTGGCAGGATCCAATTCCTGCAGCTTCAGCTGCCACTCCAGACGCTGAACGGCGTTTAACGCTGCTGCTTCATGCTGCTGACGCATCAAGAGACACGTCTGCAGGAAAACAGATTCAAGTCAGTCACACGAGGACAGAAATTCACTTAAGTCACACTTATGTATGAACGTCATTGCATTAGACAACAAAATATCAAAGCGGCATGTGAGCTCAAAATATTGCAGTAGCTATCATTATTTCAAATTAAATACAATTTATTGGAAATGTCATTATCGGACAGGGACTTAAAAAAGGTCTTTAAAGTCTTAATTTAGCCTTCCAAGAACCAAGGCCTAAAAAGGACTTTAATAGGAGCAGAAAGTCTTCATAAAGTGATGCACTGCAATAAATCTTACTCAGTATTTTTTGTTTTGCTTTTCAATACAAATATATAAACATCCTTAAATCAACATGCATTTACTCGAGATGCAGGCTGAACATATGAAGTCTTGTCTTCTGAGAAACTGAGCAAAATTAAGTGAGTTTATGCTTAAAACATGCACAAACATCTGTCAATGGGGGGAACTTTACATTTTTTTGCAGTGTGATCAGAAGGTACAGTAAAAGTTGTTTCTATTTTCTAGAGGTTAGGAGCACAGCTTTTCAAGCTATTTTATGTATATTTATTTTGCTTTGAAGTGTTGCTAATACAAGACATTTAGAGACCATATTCCATTCCATTTAGTGCTTACATTTTCTTTACGTCGTCTTAAAAAGGACAATTTCACCTTCATAAAACCAGCAGAAACCCTAATCTGTTGCTAAAACTTTAATGTGTGTTTAAGTGAGGCTAATGTGTCCAAAGACTTTTTGGGACCGATGTACCATGACATTTCTACAGATGCTAGTTGTTTGTTGCATTTCATTTCCTATTTCTATTTGCTTTTGTACCTTCAACTTGTCAAACTTGTCGTCTACATCCTGAAGCCAAGACATAAACTGCCTCGCATTGAACCGATCTCTGACAGAGGTCTTCCCATCATCACCCTGAAATGTAAAAAAGACATTAGTAAAGATGAACTATATGTTGCAAAACTATTAAAAGGTATTAAAAGAACGTTCCAGAATCAAAACAAGTTAAGCTCCATTGACTTGATGTTGACTGCAGAAAATAATTTAGATTCATTACTTTAAAATAATGTCCTGATAATGTGGCCATTTACCTGGACGTCCTGGGGCATGTTGTATACTTCGGCATCCAATAGGACTGTGCAGGCACTGAATGGAAGCGTCTGATTGGCTAGTGTTCTTGCAGCACGGTAATGAACTCTCAAAACCTCCTGCTCATTGGATACAATCAGCTTTTCCTGGAAGAGCAAACGCCTCAGTCATTTTAAGTCATCTTTATTGCAACCAAAATGCAGCAATCTGAAGCTAAAAAAAAAATAAATATATAGCCTAAAACAAAATAATATTTCTCTGTTTCTGCATATGAATGTAGATGCTTTTAAACATAATTATAGAATTAAGCAGGCTGAAAAGTTGACACTTTTGTAACATTTATGTTGTTACATAATTACATAATAAATAATTTATGTTACCATTTAGTAACTACATATCTGTAAAAGAGATTTCCAAACCTAAATATTATGAACAATACAATTAATAACATGTAAAATTATGATAATCATCATTATCATCTTTCTATTTAACTCTTTAATTGTTAATATTATTTTAAGAATATTTTTTTGTATTTTATTTATTGTTTTTTATTTATTAAATAAATTATTTAAATAGTATTTATTTAAAATGTATTAGTTTTTTTTTTGTGGGTTTCTTTTTTATTTAGAATGATAATTTACTATCATTATTACATGTAGCTTTTAATTTTTTATGTTAAAAAATAATATGTAATATTTATTTGTTTATTTATTTATTATTTACACATTTTCTCACAGATCCCCTGTAGTTCTATCATGAACCCCAAGGGGTCCATAGCCCCTCAGTTCGAGAAAATCCTAGTCTAGAGATTGATGATCAATAAATACAGTACATTCTCGGTTCCATTTACCCTTTCGATGCTGTGCTGCAGTCTTAGCTTCATCCGCACCACCTCTTGCTGTTTGAACATCTCTTTCAGTGGTTCAGGTAGTGAGGGAGGTGGCGTTATCTACAAAAGCATAGAATTAGCAGGACTTTAGATTTTAGCATTTTAATTTGAGTTGCAATCAATACTTTCACAGAATGGAACCATACCGTTGGGATGCAGAGCTTGCTGAGAGGGTTTCCATCCAGCAGATAGGACCCATTGAATGTCACATATTCATCGTAGTACTGAGGAGCTTGAGGAATGACACTACAAAGTACTTTCCTCTTCTCCTCGATCTTTTTGCGAATGTGTAAGTATTCATAATATGGGTTTGCTCTCTCGGTCTGGTAAGGCTGGATCTCTTCAAGCTTAAGCGCATCTACAATTGCAGCTAAGGACTGCTGCGTCTTTTCTCTGACCTGCTGAGCCGTAAGGTTCCCTTGGGCCGGAGGAGAAGCCCTAGGCATTTTTCTTTTCCTTGGATGGGTCACCTGCATGTCAGCTTCTTCTTC